TCCTTATGGATGGTTAAGGAGTAGGGTGGGTCGAAAAAACTTTTTTTAAGTATTCGATTTCTAATAGTGAAAATATGTTGAAGTTAGGTGTCGTTATAAACCCTTTAAAATATCATTGGAATGTTTTAAGTGGAACAGCCAGCGCAACACTCTTGAAGTTTTGAAAAAAAAAAAGTTCAATAACCCACTTTTACACCTTAAGTTACATGTTTGACGTTGAGTTTATTTAATGTTTTACTTGTTATCGATTGAAATACACGTTATTTTTGCTATATAAACTGTGTTGTTTGTTAAAAGAAGATTATTTGAGGTAAGTACATTCAGAGAATTCATGTATCAAAGTGGTTAGTTTCTTGTGAAGATGTAATTTGAGTATTTTTCGTTTTAGAATCTGAAAATTAATTTTTTCCATCATGTCTAATAATAGACAGTCATACAAGTGCCCTATATTTGGTACTATAGAAGATTTAAAAGAAAATGTGTTACCAACATATCAGGATGTCATGAAATATTACGAGTGGAATAGAGTACAGGTAAAAATTAATAATGGCAATAACAAAGAGCCCACGTTTTCCGAAATTGCAGAAATTGTAACCAAGAAAGTGGAAGGAGTATGGCAAAAAGCATCAATCCCTGTAGTCTCGCATACAAGAGTAATTCAGCTCCTGAAAGCTTATCATTCCAAATGCAAAAATATTATTAAATCATTAAAAAGATTGTCAACTGAGAAAAAAACTGAGTTCTTGAAAAAAAGTGAAATTTTATTCGACATTTGTTCATGCAAATGCAAGATATTAAGTCAGTGCAATTGTCCCAGATCAGTTAAAGTTCCTAAAGAAGAACACGACTTTTTGATTGATCAACGAGGTGAGAGAAAAATGAGAATCGGCGGCATTGATCGCAATCGAACAAAAAGTTTGCAAAAAAAGTTTGTTCGAAAGCAAGCTTCAACAAAAATCTATCTGAAGAGCGACAACAACCAATCCATAATGCCAGAACAAGAATTAAAGTTGTCAACAAGTAGTGATTCTGATACAAATGTTTCATATCCGGAAAAGTTACACAAATATATAGAAGAGCCCTTACCATCTACCTCAGGAAGAATGGAAAATAAGATATGCGTGAAAAGTTTACCCGTTTTGTCGCAAATATGTGACCGTTATGGAGTATCCGATAGAGCTGGTGCTGCGATTGCTTCTGCAGTTTTACATGAACTTTCGTCAGATATCGTTATAGATAAATCAAAACTGCGAAGAGAGAGAAGGAAAACACGTGACGCGCTTGTGAAGACTCAAGCGCCTTTAAACTTGCCTGCTTTATATTTTGATGATCGGAAAGATAAAACTCTGACGATTGTTACAAAGGGAACCAAAAGGTACAAGCAAGTAGTTATTGAAGAACACGTTTCTGTAATTAAAGAACCGGATTCCATTTATGTAGGGTATGTGACGCCATCACAAGGAACTGCAAAGACTATTGAGATATCAATAAATGCTCTTCTTTTCTCCAAAAGTATTAGTACCGATGACCTCTTGGCAATTGGATGCGATGGAATAGTGATAAATACGGGTAAATTTAGTGGTGTCATAAGGCTATTTGAAAAAAGACTTCAGAGACCTTTGCAATGGATAGTTTGCATGCTGCATTTAAATGAACTGCCTCTGAGGCATTTGTTTGATTACATGGATGGTAAAACTTCTGGTCCATCTACGTACAATGGTCCTATTGGTAAGTTGCTGGATAAGAGTGAAACGCGAGCTGTAGTTGAATTTGAGTCAATACCAGGTCAATTACCAACGCTAAAACCGGAAAACTTAAGCACAGACCAAAAATATTTGTATGAAATCACATTAGTTGTAGTTACTGGAAGTTGTTCTGATGACTTAGCAAATAAATCGCCTGAAAAAATGTCACATGCCCGTTGGTTGACTAAGGCAAGTCGGATCTTGCGTCTTTACATTTCTTCTCCAAAACCATCAACAAATTTAATTATTTTGGCTCAATATATTGTTAAAGTGTATGCCCCCGTGTGGTTCCAAATAAAGACACACTCATCGTGTAAAGATGGATCACGACACCTTTGGAAATTGATTGAAAGTTCGCGATTTTTATCATGTGCATTAAAATCAATCATAGATCCTGTTATTCAACGAAATGCATATTTTGCTCATCCTGAAAATTTGCTTTTGGCAATGTTAACAGACGAAGAAAAGCATATAAGAGAACTTGCAGCTAGAAGAATTCTAAAAGCGCGTAATTAACCTTCAATGGGAAAACTACCACGCACTTTTGAAGTCCCTAAACTTAATTTTGATGCTAAATGTTATATTGATTTAATAAACTGGCAAGAAACCAACTTTGATCCACCTATTCTAAGAAATCAAACGAATGATGAACTTATTCAAATTATAGATAAAAATGGTGACGAAAGGATGTTGTTTATTAGGCTGCCTTGCCATACACAAGCAGTTGAACGAAGTGTAAAGATAGTAACAGAAGCTGCAATGTCAGCATGTGATAAAAAAACAAGAGATGGTATGATTCATGCAAAAAGCTTCAAGGAAAGTTATGCCGAAATTCGATAGTAAGCGGGATTTTTTATATAAAAATAAATAACTTTTAATTTGTATTTGTCAATATATGTCTTTCTCTAAATATTTGTTATATTTTAATAGTATTTTAAGAAATTTCTATTAAAAAACTATGACATTTCGTAATACGTGTTTTTCTTTCAAAAACTTAAAATTTCGTTACGCATGCGCGGGCTGAAGATGTATGTTTAATTGTCCGTTTTTATGCTTAAATTACTTATAATAGTATACTACAACATAATATTACTATTAGAATTCGATTCCCAAACTTTTATTTTTTTCCATACTAAAGTGACTCACCCTACATAAGGAGGATGGGCCATGACCCTCCACGCTGGCCCAATGCGGATTGGAGGCCCAATGCGGATTGGATGTAAGTATATCGGGCTACATATATACAGTTGAAAACACGTAAAGTTGAACAAATTTGACAAATTTCTCCGCTCGCTCTTATACCTTAATGCACTGACGATGGAGTTTAAAATCAATGGGAGATATTTGACATATTGTGGTAACTTGTACGCCTTGTGTACATAATTATGTGATATGGAAATTGAGCTTTGTATTAAATATTCGATTGTTTCAAAGTAAGTATTTTGATTAAATTAATTCATTAAACAGTTCTCAGAAATATAATATATTATATAATTTAATTAAATTGTAAGTCAATGCTAACCTCCATAGTTATTCTCATTAAAATTATTCAATTATGAACATTTAATCTTCTCGAGTTAAATTTAGAAAACCTTTTAGTAATATGTATATTTTAGCAATAAGTTCTAAATAATACTACTATATATACCTAAATTCATCACGTCACCAAACATTTCTGAGATTCTGGATTCGTCTGGTCAATGTAGAAAAATCTGACCTCTATATATATCTAGCTAAGGACTGTATGTTATTGTACTTTCCTATACTTAGTTTAAGATCCAAACTATGTGATATTATAACCCGCGTGGCAGGCGGCCCCGGGCAGTGAGCCCAAAAGTCTGAGGAAACGCTGCTGTCCGTCTCCTAATGGCTGTGTTCTCTTAGTCGCTTTGTACGACTCCCACTGAACGAAGGGGTGTGTTACTATTCTGGGCCGGCACATACACGCCTTTTTAAGCTCTTTGTTAGTGACTGAGCAGAAAGTAAATTCTTCAGTCCTGTTGGGTCACGGGTAGCTCAATATTTATTAGAGTAAAATTAGAGCAATCACTCGGAATGTGAAAGCTTGTAGGTTAGAGTCTCATCACGGGGTACTCAGAACCGGTGGTTAAGCATTTTTAATTTAAGATATTTCATAAGTATAACTGTGAATGCAAAATTAATTAAATATAAGAAGAAAATGTAGAGTTGTATTGGTGTAAAAATTTGTTAAATTTGTACATTTTTCGAGTTATTCATAGTTAAAATAAAAACAATTCTTTCCCGCTTATAATAGAAATTACTGTTAGCTTTAATTTTATTACTGAGACTTTATCTCATAATTTGCTCTCATACTATGATGTTCAAAATAGAAACTCCGACGCAGCGACGACGATTAAATAAAATAGAAAAACAAGTTTCATATGTTAGAATATATAAAGGGGATTATAAAAGAAAGCGCCAGTAATAAACTATTTAGTTTGCTGTTGAATCTCCAACTTTACTATCGAAAACAAGAAACCAGTAGAAGATAAATCACGTCCTCTTTTTCAATAAAAATAAATTATGAGACACAAAAGTTCTTTAGCGCTTAAAATGTTGAATATTTACCGAAAGTAATTTTCAACGGGGATCCGCAAATTCTAATTACAAGAGGCCGTAAATTAAGAAAGGGGCCATGGTCTTAATGGGCCGGATTCAAATGAATAAAATAACCACAATGAATAATTAGCGCATAAGCATAATCAACAGGGGCACCCGTGAAAATTGTATTAATATACGTGTTGTTGTCACGAGAAGTGAATACACATTAAGTAAGTGGCAATTTATTATGTGAACCAAGTACACACAACAGCATATTAAGTTAATATACAAGACGGAATTATGATATCGGATTTGAACTTAACCGTGGACAGATTAAAAATTGCAATTATAGCACATATGCACGTAAAATGCATGTTGTCCATCCCTATGGTGTTGCTGTATGTACTTAAAATAATAAGAAACTTGGTTTTACTTTATTTTTTATTTGGTCCTTTTGTAAAGTCAGTTATTTTGAAATAGCTTATCATCTACATATACGTCTATTAAAATTGTCATTGGTTTAAAGCGATATTACCGGTACAAATTTTTAAGAACATTCATTAGAGCTTAAAATCGATATTAAACCTTAATGGACGTTTGTGTAACAAAGGCCCCACGCACATGGCGTATTTTATAAGCGCAGACGACGTGCAGATCACGCGCATATACGATATTTGAACGCAACCTTTTAACCTAAGCACACGGCGGCGGCGTGATCATGTAGTGTGCGTCTACCGTGCGTATACGAGCAGATACAGCGGTAGAGACACGCTACACATAATAAAATATATTTGCAATTGCGGCGCGAACGTTGTGGTGAAGTGTGCACGCGCCCCTCTTCTGGACCTTTGTACGCGCATCAAACGCTTTTTACATGCGCGTTTTTATCGTGTCTTAAGCGCCTATGAGTCTATAAAACACAAAAACCAGCATCTATGCCGCAGAAATCGCGCGTTCCTAACGTTACGCCATGTGTTGGGGGCCTTACAATATATCTCGAAACTACTGAAATGATTTTGGTGAAACATGTCCTGCATCAATAAATAAAGAATCAACATCTCCGACTTACAAAATTTAGCACACATGCTTAGAAACTCGTATGAATATTGTCATTCCAACTGAATGAGTACATACAGGTAAAATTGATAACCTCCTTTTTGAAGTAAATCGAATAATAGTGAAACTAAACTAGATTGTTAAAAACGATGAATAGATTAGCTAAATAAAATAAGAGATTTGTCGTCTCAAATAAGACTATCTTAGAAATGACTAGGTAGCTAGTCATGTGTGGTCTTTTTTGACAAAAAGAAAATAAATGGAACCTATCCATTAATTACTTTACCCTCTTACTCTCATATACTCTCACCCATTGAAGACTTACCAGTAAGCACGTGAACGCGGGCAGTAGCCACTTGAGCATTATCTGGTACACACTCATATGCGCCTGCGTCTGACGTTCTCGCAGATTGCACCAGCAATCTGCTACTGCTGTGGATACCCTTCTCTGTCACCAGTGATATACCGCCACGAGTAGAGTCGAAGTTTATCGTCTAAACAATAAACAAACACATTATTAGTGTTGGCAATAAAAAAATCGATTTGACCGGAAGTCGATACTAGTGTCGCTAACTTGAGGCAACCAACGACGACCACGTGCAAGAAGGGACTATATAAGCTGATAATGGAGTAAATCGTGGCAGTCTTAGTTACGCTCGCCTGGTGATAGCTAGTGCAAAAGTGTGGACTAAGGTATTAGTACAAATATATTTATATGTGTGAAGTGTTATATCGTTGATACTAAGTGTATTTCAATTATAATGTTAGTTATTCTTAATACAAAATGCTTAAAAAATCCACTTAGTCGCTGGCACCCTGAGATGGGATTCGAACCCACGACCTTTCGCAATCCAGTTGACTGCTCTAACCACGGAGCTACCCAGGACCTAACAGGACTGACGAATATTTCAAGCATTTGTTACTTTTTGCTACTACAGAGGGTATTCTCATCAATGTTCAGGCATCCACCCTATTTTTTATTAAGAATAATTGTCAGTATAGCATTGTGAATGTGAAATTAATCAAATATAATATATTGTTAGTTATCGTAATATAACAAATTAGTATTTTCATAACGCCCACCATCATTATAAGAAACTAGCTTTTGCCCGCGACTTCGTCCGCGTGGTAAAGTTACTTTGAACAGCATTCCTAACGAATATTTATTAATTAGGTATATCGTGGAAAATACCTTAAATAAAGTTCATCTCCTATTTCATCTTCTTAGGGGTGGAATTTATCAAAATCTTTTCGTAGTGGACAACTACGTTATAGTAGCTTTATGCATGCAAAGTCTCAGACCGATCGGTTTTAAATAGACAAACTTTCATCCCCTATTTTATCCCCTTGGGGATAGACTTGATCAAAATCCTTTCTTAGCGGATGCCTACGTCATAAAATCTACCTGCATGCCAAACTTCAGCCCGATGCGTCCAGTGGTTAGGGCTGTGCGTTAATAGATCACTAGGTAAGTCAGTCACCTTTGAGTTATATATATATATTTAGATTAATACGTATGTCGTTATATAACTTTGTGTCGCTAGTGTTGTCATCTATCGGTAATCGCGTTTCGATGAAAATCTCTAGCGACCTAAACTACTGAAGCGGTTATTCATCAGGACCCGAAATGAAGACCAGTAGGCTAATAGGGATGATGACTTATTTATGTTTGTCTGTCCGTCGGGCAGATAATTGGAGAATGTTCAAGTATTTTTTAGTATTTTTTTGCGTAATCAATAAATTGCGGCGACATTTATTTATTTATTTATTTCAACTTCTTTGCACAAATAAAACGTACAAATGGCGGACTTAGTGCCAGTAGGCATTCGCTACCAGTCAACCGGAAAGTTATGGAATAGATACATTAATAAAGCGTGACGTCACACCTTTGTACATTATCTCAACTTTAATGCTCATTATTTAAGCCATTTCTTGGTAAATTAAATCAACCAAAAATAAACTAATTTTTTTATATTATTTGACCAACGGATTAAATATATTTTCCTTTTTTTACTTAGTCGCCATATTTATAGTATAATAGCTAAATCAACTGCAAATCCTTTAAAAGTTACAGTGATTGCGATGGAAATATTTACGTCTAACACAAGTCTTAGACAATTTCGATTAAACCAACAACATCGTTCAACCAACAACAACAAAAGCGAGTGCGATTACAATTGCTATCACCTGTCAAATGGTTATAGCGTGAAGTTCGTGAATATCTTCAAATTTCAAATAGAAAGAGATTGCAATAGTTTTATTCTGTAGCAATCCTTTATAGGGATTTCGGTTAGTTTTCGTAATATTCTTTGAATGGTTTTATTTGTATCTATTATTTTATTGTATTTGTACGTCTGTAACACAACAGAATAAAGTAATTTCAATTATAATTAAAATGTATTCCATTGACAGTTAAAACAAATGAATACATATGTTTAAAGTGAAAAAATAATGGGGCAATCTAGGTAACTTCAAAAAAAAAAAATCCTACGCTATTTTAAATATTAGCTAAATCGGATGGACCGTCGCCAAATGATACGCTAACCAACAAACATTTCTTTTTTTTATTATATAAATAGATTATTCGTCCGAGTGGGTTTCCATTTCCTGTGGGACCATTCAAAAACCCTCCTTAGTGGTCGCCCATATTGATATGTCAGTAAGCCTGTTTCACCTTTTCATACATTTTGGTTATAAGGAAAAATTGTTTTGATTGCATATGTCAATAATATAAACTTTTTTGATGCGTAAAAAAATATATTAATGTTTTTCTTTTTACACGACGGCCCAAAATATGTGTGTTTATCTTTTAGGTTTATATATGTATAGAGTATCATTAGAAACGTTATCATCCCGAGTGACACTGGCTACATATACATATTTTTAAATATTCAATATGGCAGATGTAAAACATAAAGATTTGTTTTCATAGGGAAAAAAAGTGAAAAAAAGGAACTCTATTAAGTCCATCAGTCAGATAATAGAAAAATACTACAAACGTATTTTAAACTGACCACTACACGACCATAAATATTGATCGTCAACTGAACGTTTGATAGCTAAGAACAGTTTGTATAGGAAAATCAAATTGTCGTTTTTAGTATTATACTTGCAATTTCGTCATATTTTCTTTCATCGTTTAAACCTTCCCAGGACTTCCACGAATATTTCAAGACTAAAATTTGTCAAATCGGTTCAGCCGTTCTCGAGTTTTAGTGATATTAACGAACGGAAATTTATTTTTATTTAAAAAAATTTACACATAACTAACTAACTGCTCACTAAAAGGAATAAATAAATAATGTACAACCATTTTACAACAATGAAATATACACATTCATGGCAATAAATGCCTCAATCAATCATACTTTCAACAAGTTGCACTAACGTCCATTGAAATTTTCATAAGTTTAAAACGCCATTACCGATACAAAATTTCAAGTTAAGAACATTAATTTGAGCTTAAAACTTAATGGACTTTCATGCGACTAACCGCATGTCTAGTGGTTGACAACAAAAAAGCAATTATAAATTCTTCTTCCAGTAAAATATGATTGTCCACATGACCGCCCACTGGCGATAAATTATTTTGTAGTCGAAGTGGAATACGATCTAAATTAATTTTCCTAGACACCTAATTTATAATAGAAAAAAAAGTGAATAAGTCCCATAGCCTATTTTTACGTTATAAGCTATTATGCAGCTATGCCAGCTCGTGACATCATTGCTGCATTTGTACCATACGAGACATCATGTAGCGTGAATGTTTGAGGTAATAGTTTATACCGTGAGTACAGTGGTAATATAAAATCTTTATTAAATTCTTGCATAAGAAATTACCAAGAAGGTTGAGAACAGCGTTGATTACTCAACGAGTGTTCATTTGAGGCATAAAGCGAGGGTTTTAGTCTACAGAGAGAATGCTAATTTATACTGTATGTAGGTAATACCATACATTGTTTATGCATGGACACAGTTATATTAATTGCTGGATAACAGTTTGGACATCCTACAAATTCACACAATGACTTCAAAAATACAGCTTAGCCTGCAACTACAAATTTATGTATCTACAGCGCAATACGACAATGATACCACCTACCTACCAATAAAATTTTTCGACATAAAATATTATTTTGTTTCGAGATTCATGTCCTCTAGCAGAAACCACAATTTATAGTCCAAAGGGTTTAAGTCTGGACTAGCTGAAGGCCAATTAGCCTTTGTGAAGTATGGAATATTTTGCTCAAGCCAAGTTTGGGTAGTGCGCGCCTTATGATCTGGGACTGAATCCTGTTGGAATGTCCACACTTCTTTTTTGAATAAGGTGTTGTTGAGAGGTTTAACTACCGCTTCTAACACGGTATAGTGATACACTTTGGCTGAAGTTTTCACTTACCTTACCTTTAACTTTTTCGCAAAAATGGAGTTTTGTAATCGGTAAAGGGGGAATATTTCTGTGTTTTTCGTCCGCGTAGCTGTTTTGATCTTTCGACTCCCTTTTGTTGTAGTGCCTGATTTAATGTATGTCCTGTGTATCTCCGGTAAGCCCCTAGACCTAAGTCTTGTTTGTAAATGCGAAAAAGTTTCCTTGGTGGGATTCTCATTTCTCTGGAAAAGGATTTTCTGCTTCCTTATGGGGTTTCGGTGAATTCTGGACCGCGGTCGGACGGATCTAACGCTTTACGATACATAAACATTCGGCTAATCCCTAGCTTTTTCAATGTATCAAAATTGTCGGCTGTCTCATTACCTATTGTGTACAGTGCAATAGTGCCCCACTCCAATTTCAAAACAAATAATTTCTTAACAAAAAAACATACAAAAATGGCGGGGAAGAAGTCTATTTTGTTATCGTAGAAGCTAATGTTTGAATTTTTTTTTAATATATGTGAACAACCAGTAACAGAATTTATGGCTAGACTAGTTATTTCTCCGGTTACTTTTATACTTGTCGTTTAACCGTGTTGCGGGAATTCGTTAAAGAATATTTTTAATTTTGCAACCATACATTTTCTTTAAAAAAAAATGATTTTTTTCCGCGTTATCGTATAGGCATATAAACCTTCAAAAAAAAAGGGAAAAGACCATTCGATAGTATGTATTTTTTATCAAACTAACAATCATAATGATTGTTAGTTTGATTGTAATCCTGAAATATTTGTAAAAACAACTTCGTGTACAAAACTATTTAGACGTACCGACATGTTAAAATGTTTGCCTTTTATCATGAGACCGAATCTAAATATATTTAATGAAATAGTTAATATGGCGCACGCTTTTCATTTTGCTCTGAGTTCTCCGGTTAAATCATAAAAGGAAGTGATATTTCAAGCAACAAAATGTTACAATGTTACGAACAATAAAACTAAACGTGCATCGGATGCAAAGCATCTGCTGTTACCCACTTGGCTATTGTGTTACTTAAATAAGCTTATTTTATCATTT